TGATTTGGCTAAATAGCGATTTTAGTGGCATGGATTATCATCGTCTAGCAAGGCACCACTGTAAGTGGTACATGGAGCTGAGTTACTGGCTTCTCACACTCCCAGTAAAAATCATGCTCTGTCACAGCCTTTCCTTGAACGCTCAGAAGAGTTCTTTCGCCATATTGAAATTCCCTGCACCTAGAGAGCTAGTGCATCAGGGATAACTAAAGTAGCGCTCGCCGCCTGAGGTGCTAGATTTCCACCAGAAGGGACTTGAAGCTTGCAATTTGCGAAAAGCCCCAGACTTGGAGACTCCTCTGCCGTAGTTCTGAAAATGACAGCCATCCAGGAAGAGGACTATTCTTGATAGATCAAGGCACACTGATTGGAAGAACCGTCAAATTTCCATCCAGAAACAGATCCTGGACAACCGAGGCAGAAGAGCCGGAGTCAAGAGCAACAATACAGAAAGGCAAACACAGCAAGAAGAAATGCTCCTGCCAAGTTCCAAACATGGCCATCCAACAGAACTTCAGCATGAGGAGTGGCCGAGAAAAATCAAGTCTTCCGCCATGAAGGAAATGGACCCCTTGATGGGATCTCCAGAGTCCTGCAGAGCAGGAGAAGGCCTTGTCCCCATGAGTGTGTCCCGCCACTTCCGGTTTGCTCTTAGAAACTCTCCGGCCTCCCTCACACCCATCCCCACATACGTTAGCTCATCAACAGGACCAGCCCTACCCTTAGGCAGAGTGGACGCTCCTCCTCAGCCTTCCCGGATATCTCCCTCTGTAGGACGACAGAACGCCAAGTGCTACAGAACTCATGGTCCTCTTCGAAACTGGCCTGCCATCACCGTCGCCTCAGCAGAACAGAAGTAACGTAGATTACCAGCTCCAGCTTTTCAACAGGGGAAGGCAAAGGGGGCACCAGCTTGTCTTTTGCCTCAGGCGGCAAAATATCTTAGGCTCGAGGTTAGCCTGGATTTCTCGGGAAGCCAACCAGCTGCCACGGCTGTCTAACCTGACGGGAAGGACCGTCAACCTTTAGAAAGGCTCCTCCCCCTCTTCCCCCCCCCGGGTGTCCTTCTACTCTCCCTACACGGGCTTTTAAACAGCAGAAATGAAATATGCAAGGTTTTCCCAGAGTTTAGCTACCCAGGGGAGGAAAACAATGAAATGGTTGAAGGCTCCTTCAGAATCAGGGGCTCTTGCCCCGGAACACAGACCTGCTCTATATCAGAGGCCTTCTCTGTAACATAATAGCTTCCTATGTAATCATCATCATTTTAATGGATTGTTAAGTCTGACAGGGACGCACAGAGAGGAACTGAACTCCCAGCCTCTAACCCCTTGGCCAGAGACCTAAACCACTGCAATTTGGACCTAATCCAGAAGTCCTTACATAGATCTGTCAGGGAGGGCAATGCCCAAGTTCCCTACCAGTGAAATTCGTGTGGCATGCGCCAAGAAAAGCTTTTGCCTGCAGTTTCCTCTAAGTAAACCTAATCCCCTGACAAAAGGATCTCGTGATCCTAGAAGCATCTCCAGATGTTCCTCAGAATGAGTCGGTGTCATAGGTAGGAGCACATGAAATGGGACCAATTCATTCCGTCTTCCCCTTGTAGGAGCAGAGATAGGAATGGACACTGACGTAGTACTTCCAATCTGTAATTCCTAACATCCGAGCTTAATTGGGAGAAGAAAGATGGAGAAACAAGAGTTGAGTCTAGGAGGGCAGTGGCTCTCGAGTTCTCTGGGTGGACTCTGGACTTCAACACCCAGAACCTCCAAGGATTTGATAGACTAGCTGGGCTTTATGGGAGCTGAGAGGCTCAACTACAGTTCTCATCATCCTCGGACACCTGTTGGCCATGCTTTTGAGGATGATGGGCGGTGAGCTTTCATGACCTCTAGAGCCATCAGGTTGGGTGGAAGGCCGGCAGGACCTCACCCCCCCGGCAGTGAATGCATTTTCAACCCCACCCTGGGGAAAAGAAAAAAACGAAAATGGATTTTCTTTCCAGAGCATCAAATTGATCCCAGCAGGCGCTATAAATAAATTACAACTTGTCTGTCTCAGACAAAGCTCGTTCGAGCCATTTCCCTCCCACCCCCACCACAAAGGAATGAAAGAAGACTCGGTCGAGAAACAGGATCTGGAAGCAAAGCATTACAAATACAACCCCCTCCGTATTATTTAGGACCGGGAGTTTATCCAAGTCTACCGGGAAGCACAGGCCACGGAGTCTTAACAACTTTTACTCCCAAGTAAATGCATCTAGGATCGAAGCCAAAGTGTACTCTTGGTCAGGTTTATTTGAGCATCACAGTAAGACAAAAATTGGCTAGTGGTGAGATGGCACTCTTACTCATAGGGAGAGTTGCTTTGTATAGATTTTTTTTAAGTGGAACTCATGGGGTGTGCAACGAAATGTTGTCGCTGAATGGATCGCTTAAGAGGGAGCTCCATTGTTCCTACAAGAATCAGTTCAGTGTGGAAGGCTGGGGGACCTCCATAACGCGTCCATCTCTACCTTCTTTCGGGTTTCCTCCCCCAAAATAAGTTCTGTGGAGCTCAGTAGGGGTATGGCCACCTAAGGAAGAGTGGTTCACAACCATTTTTGGTCCTCTAGATGTTTAGAAGTCAAATCTCTAAAACATTGCCTATGCTGGCTGGGGCTTCTGGACTTTCTGAAACCCAAAACATATGTTTTGTTTTGTTTTCCCCAAAGGCTGATAAAACAGTGGTTTGAAGACCACTATGAGAGGAACTGTTCCATTGTGTCCTGGTGGAGCTAGATCTGAGAGACCCACCTCTTCTTATAGATACCAGCGGTCGCTATCAGAAGCAACAGAAGCAGCCAGCTGGCCACTGTCTTCAAACCCAGCTCTATGACGTGCTGGACTTTTCCAGCAGAACCCTATCCCCCCAACATCACTGTTTTCTCCTTGCTTTCTAAATCCTTTATGTCTTTGCCTTTGGAAGCTTGTCAACAGGGATTGAGTTGATTCTCTTGTTTATCATCCTCATCTGAGCTGCAGAGGTGGAAGGGACCCTACGGATCATCCAACCCAACCCCTCTCAAGGAGGCCCAGTGGGGGAATCGAACTCCCAACCTCCAACTCCTCGGCCAGAGACCTCAACCCCTGAGCATGTTCAGGCGTTTGTTGGATGGAGAGTGGCGCAAACGGGTTCTCTTTCAAAATTAATTTTGCTTCATTTGTTTTACTTCATTTTACAATCAATTCATTTCATACAGAACTCGGCACTGGCTTCGTCCAGAAACACGCTTGTTCTACCCACTGGATGGAAACCATGTCTCAGAAATAATTGTTTGGCTCTGTTTCAAGTTCTTGACTTTTTAAAAAAATTAAGCAAGAACACTAGTTCAAGCCCTACTTTAGGGCAAAACCTCATGGCCATCTTGAAAGCAGATTCTGCCCACGTGGTCCGGCTTAGACTTGAAGAGCCATCCTGAACTAAAGCTTCCAGCCTAAGCATACTTAGAGCGTGATCACATACGTGAAATTGATTGCATTTTGGACTGCTTGTGGAATAATCTGCACTGATCTAGCTCCCCTAGACCACACAATCTACAAAGAAGTGTCTGCCTCCAAGCTGGACCTTCTTGGCCAAGTTGTCGGGCTTCTACTTGGGTGTGTGTGTGTGTGTGGGAGATCTTGGCCGGGGCAATCCTCTGGCAGACCACTCCTTTAAAGCAACCCTTTCCATCACGTGGATGTCTTTGCTGTTGTCTGATCACCCCCTTGGTTTGGGGCATGCCCTACTAGAGTCTCACACCAACTCAGAGAGAACCAGGTCGTCCACCTCCGACCGGTGCCAGGTAAAGCAACATGGAGAACAGCTTTACAAGAGAACAGGAAAATGTTCTGTCCATAAAATTCCACAAGCTGCCACGCCAAGCTCTGCCCACGTGGCTCATGAATCGAGGCTCCCCATGCCAGCTACTGTGGTCCATGCAGTGTTTAGTTCTTGAGATCATAAGCCTGGACAAATGTAAAGGTCAGCCTTTTAGTAGGCATGGAAGCTAACCTGGAGCTGAATAAAATTGGGGGATGACAGGGTGCTGAGCGCAGATAAAAAAAGCTTGCTTCTAGCTTACAGCCACGGGGAGGAGGGAAACCGTCTTAAGAAATAAAGCTGTGCCACAGATCACCCTCTGCTTTTAAGAGCAAGAAAGAACGGGTGAGAGAGAGAAAGAGAGAAAGAGGGGAAGAAAGAGAGAGAGAGAGAAGAAAGAAAGAAAGAAAGAAAGAAAGAAAGAAAGAAAGAAAGAAAGAAAACCGGCTGCTCCAAGTCTCCTCTTTTCATCTTTCAGTCTGGAAGGCAGACACACACATTTTTCTGGACAGTGAAAAAAAAACCCTGGAAGCTGATCAGACCAAAAGATAGAAAGCAGATTCAGAGCCGAGAGTTTTAAAAGGTCCTTCTTCTTGCATTTTAAAATAATCCTCCCCCCCCCAATCCATCTCTCCTCTCCTTCTGCAGCGTCTGGAGAAGTATCGATTTTGGACACCCAAGTTTGGAGACATCCGTGCATGCTTAGGTGCACACACTCACACTCCTTGCATACGCACAATAGCCACATCGAGGAAACCCTCTCATGCACCTCGCCCACATTGCCCCCTTCCATTGTCCGCGTCCTTTGCCAGTCTCATTGGTGTGCAGGCGCATGTGCGCAACCCCCCCCCACTCGATGATCGCCTTCAGCTCCCTTTCATTTCATTCATCGGCTCGCTCATGCATCCACAAGAGCACCATGGAAACAGAGAGCTCAGAAACCCATCTGACAGCACGCACTAGACATGCAACTTGAGAAAGTGAATGAATATCTGAATTTATCCGTCTGTCCGTCTGTCTGTCCCCCCAAGCTCAAAACGTCTCCAGGTGAAGACTTCTAGAAACTCCAAGAAACTTTTTTTAAAGAAAGAAAATAATAATTCCCCCTTCCCTCTGTCATTCATAGCAGAAGTTAGACTGTGGAAAGGAAGACTTACCTTTTAGGTAGGTGTTAGTCCGTCATGCTTTGCCCAGATCTCCAGCGAGATAATAAAAATAGGGTGTTGAGCAAGGGTGCTTAGCGGTGCTCCTTGGAGCTCTGCCTGTCACAGACGATGTTCGGTCCACAGTGGAGGTGGTGGAGGAGGAGAGCGAGAAGGGATGAGGCAGAGCGATGCTGGACAGTAAGGCAAACAGTGGTTGCAATGAACCACTTCTGCTGTTTTATATAGCTGAGGCTGGTACTTCAGCTTATTCCACTGTAATGGGATGCCTTGGAGGGCTCTCTCTCTCTCTCTCTCTCTCTCTCTGTGTACTTTTGCACCCGGTGAATTAAAGGCACAGCTTTCCTCCAGATCCTGCGTTCCCCTATGAAGGAAACCCCCCATATATAGAGAGGAGAGCGGAGTGGGGCAAAAAAAAAAAAAAAAGACATTTGCATGTAATTTATGGTGGAAGGAAGAAATGACCTCCCCCTTTCCCCTCACCACTCAGGGGGTGGCTGAGTGCAGGAAAGTCAGCCCAAAGGCAGCCAATGACTCAGAGTGGGAGCATTATTCCACACACACACACAGACACACACCCCAAGGGATTCGGTGTTGTTAAAAGAACACCAGATATTTCCTTATAGTTTTGTAACCGTTGGCCTCCGCCGCCACAAACCGACGGCACGCCAGATCCCCGAGGGAGCCAGGATGTGATGGGTCGCGCTGCTTAAACAGCCTGCACCTTCCAAGTTGTGGGTGTAGAGGAATCGACAATCTGGTTGTCATTTGGGAAAGGGTTGAGTTCTTCCTTGCTTTGGAGGGGGGGGCTATCAAAAATGGATGGTGGTCTCCACAGACCTCATCCCTGTCTCCTTTAAATGATGAGAGTGGAGCCCGAAGATCTTACACTTGAAAAAAAAAAGAGGTCCTTTCTGGGTGGGACTCCAGCCCTGACCAGAGGCCCGACTCCACCTTGGGCTGCTTCAAGGCAGCCCCACGGCTTCCCGGCCATCTTCGCCCTGGCTGGGGTAGAGTGCTCCATTCGCAGGGGGTTCGGTTGCTCTCAACTGGACCGTTGCCCTCAAATGTGGTAGATGTGGTACACTGTGTGGTCAGGTTTGGGTGGCCAGATACACTCTATTGTCCTTCAGTTCAGGGAGCCAAATATCTTGGTCCAGCCCCTCACGGAGAGGAGCGGGAGGAGGAGGCGGAAGAGGTGCCACTCAGAGATGAGAGGGAAGCCAAGGAAAAGCCATCCCGTCTCTTCTTTGTTGCAAGGATCAGATAGACGGGATTAGGAACCCGGGAAATGCCACTCAGAGAAGAGAGGGAAGCCAAGGAAAAGCCATCCCGTCTCTTTGTTGCAAGGATCAGATAGACAGGATTAGGAACCCGGGACAGCCTATCTGTGGGAGAAAGATAAGCCCATTCTTTTATTTATTTATTTATTTGTAGCAGCTGGGAGTAGACTCCTCCCATTTTC